TTGTAACATAACCTATGTTATGCTCATTTAGTGTGTTTGTTGTTAAATTATATTACAGATTAAAGCTGTATTAACTTATTACGAGTATTAACTTATTACGACATTAACTACAACGAATGACCAAACCATATATAACAATTCGTCGCTTTCTTTTTGAACTCGTCGGTATGACGAGTATCGACTATCACTGGATAGAAATTATTGAGAAGTAGTAAATTTATTATTTACTTTGCCTATTTTGTTTTACTTGAATCTATAATTTTACTTATTATAACATGTCATGCTACAATATGTTGTAACATAACCTATGTTATGCCAAATATAACCTATATTCTAGTTAAATATATTGACATTTAGTGTGTTTATTGTCAAATTATATTACAGATTAAAGCTGTATTAACTTTTAAATAAAATAAAATTTTCTAGTGTCAGAAAACGACATTACTTGTAGGTATCCTTAACCCCTTGCGCTGGCAACTGATTGCGGACCATAACGAGTGACCAAACCGTATACAATAATTCGTTGCTTTCTTTTTCTTTTCAATTCATCGGTATGATATCAGTCGATAGAAATTATTGAGAAATAACAAATTTATCATTTGTTTTGCCTGGATTATATACTTAAATATATTTAAAACTAAGAAAATATTACAATTTTGGAACAAAAAATTCTCGTCATTCCAGGGCAAGAGGTTGAGTGTCCGCTTTTGGTCCCAATTACGGACAATTAAACAGGGACTACCGTGTTTGAAATTTCGTTCAAACGATATTCATTTCGATATCCTTCGTCTCTACCGTTTAATTCGTTGCTCGTAATAAGTTCACTATTCGTATTCGCCGACGATTCGTAATTGATTATTCGACTCTGCTCGGGTAGGTTCGACAGTTCGCGCTTCGCGTTATTCAGGCATTTCTTTACGAAGAGTCATCCGTCACTGCGCAGATGCACGAGAGATATCTTTTACGGTGTATGTAAAGTCGCATATTCGTCAGTCCAAACAGTCCAGGGACATTGATGTTGGCCGATGATTGATGAGCAGCGAGTGGGAAACGAAGGGAAATTTGTAAGGCGCCTTGCGTCGAAAAATGTAAATCGTTAAAGTGGCATTTTCATGCTTAAATTCCAGTGAAATTCTTCGGGGAACGTCAAAGACTCGTCGGGAGATTATAAAAAGAAGACTAAAAATTAAAAGGAGAGACATTTCTCCCGTGAGAATTGAAAATTGAAAATTGAAAAGTCGTTCTGTTCTCGCGTTATGTCCACCTTGGAATTTTTTTATTTCTGTATTCCGCTGATTGATATTAACCCTTTAACTGCATATGACGAGTTAACTCGTCATCGCAAGAATGCTTTTCAGCAAGTAAGACAAGATAGCTCGTCGCCTAACGTTTGAAAGTGACGCACGTAGATTTAAACGTGATTCGATCGTATCTTCCGATGTCTTTTTACTCTCGTTTGAACTTTACGCTTTTGGTAAGTTAGCTCCGTAGTTAATAAAGCTACCTGGCCCAAGAACAAGTTTCGAGGGACGTGTAACATCGTCACGGTAGACAAGCAGCGCAAGTCAATTCGAGGGAAAGTGAAAGGGTAAGCATGAAGAAAAGCGAGACGGGAGCGAAGGTAAAAATGAACCGAGTGTGAGAAGAAGTCCACCGCGCGCGATGGAGCCGAGTAATTTTCAGGAAAAAGCTAAAGCACAGGTTGTTCTCCTCTCTCCATTTCTCGTCTTCGTCTTCGCGGCCCTCTCGCGACAGAGGAGGAACAGACAAAGAAAAGAGAAAAAGACAAAAAATAGATGAAGAAGAGATACGTGGTCGAGCATGCGATATACAGGGTACCTACTACGTTCTTCCCTACTCTCCAAGTTACACGGTTCACTTAAAGCTGAACACGCCACCATCGCGTAGTCCACGGTTTAGCAAGGTTCGCGAACTATCCGCCGACTAATGCGAAAACAAACGTTCTCTGTTGGTTTGTAATCAATTGTACGATAAACCGCGGATGTTTGTGCATTTATTGAAAACTTTACGCCACGAAAATATATCGAACAGCCAAAGTTAATGCGAATTGCAATCCAACTGTAAGTAAATTATTAAAGTAGAAGTTCAAATTTATTGTCTAATTCACTATACGCATATATATATATATTATACATACACACATTCAATCGAGTATATCGAGCAATTTCTCAAACATTAAGCATCTCATCTGGAAAAATTCGTTTCCTTTTATTTCGACAATTTTATTATCTTCTTTTTCTAAATAATCACTCGGTTTTTGTCACTGTACATTTTCCTCCCTTCTTCTTTCGAAAACTTTTCTCTCTATTTTCGTCTCTCCTCGCTCTTTGCATTTCTCGCCATCTCTTTTTTTATAGTAAGTAAGACTAATGTCGTAATACACCATCGAATCGGATGGAAAGGAAATTTGTTTTGTAGTCAGCAAGCAGAAATTATGCGCGTGTTAGTCTTGCAAGTTGCAAGAAACATCGAAGAAATTGTTTACGGGGCAGGGCGTTGAAAACGTAGTCATTGAAAAATTGCCGGGCATGTCGCTTAATGACTGATAATGCAGGCATTATATCAAACGTACGATGTTCACCATTGATCCAGATGCGAACATCGTGACGCGTGATTGGATTAATCGGCTTAACGACCGCGCATATACCGGCCAAACAAATTGCCCATGATCGACGCTCCGTCGTAATCCGGCTCTGACCAAAAGCGCTCATCCTTTCCTCTTTTCCATCAGCTGACTTATCGCTCGTAATTTCTCGCAGCAACATTTAGATGAACGTGTGTATGTACATTCGTGTCACATTTGGATTAGCACGGCACTGTCACGCGTCCATTTAACAGTATCATCCGCTTATTTATGAAATCGGCAAACTATGGATTTCAATTGTTTTATTATTTCCGATTATTAAACTTGGCAACGACAACGTTATACCGTTGGTATTATTCGATAAAGGTAACGTGTCCTAAATTCTTTTTTACGCTTGTTCGTCAATCAATTGTTTCAGAATTTATCTATTTATCAATAAAATACATAGGATAAAATAACGATCAAGTTGAAGAAAATGGACATGGTTGTTCGACGAGATAGCGGATTAAATTACTGTAGAAGGCAGATTATAAACGAAATAACGGAACGTATCAGCGACTCGGCGGCGGCTTGATGCCAACACGAAGTATTATTAGTTGTGAAAACTCATTACCGGTGAATACCGATTAATTTCAATGGAATTTCTTGTTACGTAATTTACTAAACCGGCTTCGGAAGTACTTCGCCCGGTTTGGCTTCCAGTTCTCTTACAGTCGCTATGGCTGTAAACGTTGATCGTTAATTAACCAAAACTGAAACCTTGCGCTTCCATGCTAGAGTTACGACAATATCGATTACATTGTTCGGATTCTCCTTGAGCTTCGGAATAATTATGAAAGGGACAGACCCTTTCGTGGATCAGAGGAATTTCAATGGTTTATATACCTATAAACTTACGTAATTAATTGCTTACTTCGGTCTGGGGGTCGCTTTATTTCCTAGTCTAATAACGGGATCTTCAAATAAAATTCATTACGCCTCTCAATCCCTATAATTTCCCATTTCAATAACGAACACCATCCTATTCGATACTCTGTGTTTCATATACATATCTTCAAATCTAAACTTCGAAATGGATTCCGAGTGTTGCACCAAAGTATGTACGAAATACTACGTTCGTTGTACCATGACATCCAAAGGTCTTCCGTATCAAAAGTACGCTCGTTTCACTTACAACGCATTTAAAAATTTAAACATTGTGACATTAAACGTTGAACATTACGTTAGAAATTTCATTCATCGGTATAAAAAAGGAGAATTCGAAACACAGTTTCTAATTTGATTTAATTTAATTTTCCATCTGACTGAAAATATAATATAACACTTCTAGTAACCACAATTATAAATCATATAATAATTATGAATACGTGATATGAGTTAATTGGCTGCAATCGTAATTGTACATTTATATCGTTAGAAAATTGTTAGCGACATATTCCTATTGATCTCGAAAATTAAAAAATATAATAAAATTGTTAAATTCTTAAATTATAAAACCAACTTTCTTCTAAGAAATACCTTGAACAAAAGAAAATCATATTATTTAATAGTTCAGGAAAAATATGAAAATTCACATACGCAGTCAAGGCGTATCGAAATCAAGGGAAAAAATAAGAGCACAATGATAGATTTTGTCCGAAACTATGATTCCAACTAATTATTTATAAATAAATGAATAAATAACTAAGTAAAAGTAATTACATTGTTTTTTATTTAAATTACAAAGATTTCATAATATTAAAGAATCTTGTATTTCAACTTTATTCGATATATCTAGAAAAACAAGAAAAATAAAATTCAACATTCGTCACAATATTTGACTTCTTAAATCTAATAAAAATGAATGAGTCAATCATAATAACGTATCGTTTCAATACATGTTTTAACTATAATTCATAGTTATAATGTTAAATAAACAGATATGTTTAACGTTAGAATGTTAAATAAGCAGATATGTTTAACGTTAGAATGTTAAATAAACAGATTAGACTTCAAATAAAGATATTTTTGGAAAATAAACTTTATGACCCATACTTTATATATTCTTAATTGAGTAAATTTATGAGATTCTAAGAACAAATTTTGGAATAATACAAGTACGTTTATAAGTATATTTTATTTTTATGGCGACGACAACCCACAAGAATACAATCCTGAGGAAATAACATTTTAACCGAGTAATTGCATACGACGCTATTTATAATACGTGACGATAATAATTAGTTATAATACACGATGAATTATTCAGGACAAAGAAGGACAAAAATGTATCATGATACTTAAAAAGTTCGTTAAATTCTGTAAATCTAAAAAGTAAAAAATGAGAGCTGTTTGTTATTTTAACTGAATTAATGTAATATTAAAATTAAATAGATACGTACAGTAGACATTGAAGTTAATTGTTTAGAATTGATTTTTTTATTTATTACTGTGTTATTAGTTAACACTTAGATTTTGTAGCCTAGAGCTCACAGCATTGCTTATTTGTTCCTTATCTGCGTCGCTTATCTTCGCACTTGGCGTTACATTTTGACCTAATCTGGTACATGCCTTTTTATGCATAAACCAATGAAGTCTTTGGCATTCCCTGTCACAATATTGCACCGCTTTACATTTGCTGCACTTTTTATTTGCTTTATCTTCTCCACAAGTAATGCAGACTTGAGCATTGTCTAAGAAAGCTCTTTGACCATCAATTGCAGCTGATACTACTGACGCAGCAGATGGTGGATCGCTGGCTGCAAGAGTTGCTACCATTTGGCGAAAAATAGTACTTTCTCTATATGGAAATTCTCTCACGCTTTCTCTCAAAAAAGCTTCCTGGTATTCTGGTACACCGTCGCTTTTGCTACATTTTAGAAATTTTCTTATTAGACCTTCGATAGTATCTGATTTCTTTTCTTCTCCTTCCTCGTTTGTTTTATCAATTTTCTCTGCTTTCATTGCTTCCTGTCTCTTTTGAAACTTGATTACCTCGGCTACAATGCAACTTAAATAATGATATTTAAACGCCATCACTTCGTTTGTTTCTGCACCTCTTGTCATTTCTTTATGGTGCATAGATTCTAAAACCTTTTGTACCTAGAAATCAGAAGAAAAATAAATTATAGCAGTACTCCAATTATGGCTCAAGTTTTACCACTATATATATATATATATATATATATATATATGTCTTACCTTAGCTGCATTTTCTAAAAGACCAGGATATCTTTGTAAATTCATAGCCACACGCACAGGATGCACATTGATTTGCATTATAAATTTATGGAAAGAATCTGCTAGATGCGGTGGAAGCATTGATTCTGTTTGCAAACCTTGTGGTTTAACATAATAATCTATGTCAGCTTTTGGAATAAAATTGTTGATAGTTGCTACACAGTTATGATTTCCCACAAATGCTGCCATCTGTGCCGGAGTCCGTCCTACACTGTTTGTTGCTGTCAAACGTGCTCCATAAGACATTAAAAGATGACAGAGTTCTGCATTTCCACTAAGGGCTGCAAAATGCAAAGCTGTATATGCATGCTCGTGTTGACATGCATTCACATCTGCTCCCTATAATAAGATACTCTAATTATTAAAATTACACAATTTGTTAGACATGTTGTCTATAATAATATTTAGCATTTATCTCAAAACATTAAATAGGTTTAAACTTGGAATCACTCGATTCAATTTCCAATATATTATATAATAAACTATTGTTAGAGCAATTAACTGAAACCTTCATACATTAGGATTCCTATGACTTTCTTTTTTTCCAAACATCTTCAAAAATACTTTTTAACAAAAATTCTTTTATCTTCAAATTTGATCTGCACACAGAAATTAACACACAATTATTTCTTTATTTGTTAGAAAATGTATTTTAAATCAACGAATTTTCGTTTAATAATTCCCCATATAGGCAAAAACGGAAAGTCAGAAATATATACAAATATGGAAAACGTACTTTTGGAAAAATAATTTCGAATATTAAAATTACAAATAGTTCTTTAATCACATATGTATATTCAACTGTTTTATGCAGAGTTAAAAAGCTAACCTACCTGATCTAGAAGCATCTGCACTATTTCCTTATTTCCTTTGTAACAGGCATGTTGAAGTGGACTCATACCATTTTCATCAACAAAATCCATTTTAATTTTGTTTGCCGCCAACAATGTCTTGAGCTCAGACACTTCATTGTTGCTAATTTTTGTAAAAATTTGCTTTTGTACGGCGATTAATCCCTCCGGGGAAGGCGCCATTTTTCTTACTATCGATCAGTATAACAAAAGTTCAAGCATAGACATACAATAATATAGAGTGCTCTATCGCTTTACAAGATTTTACACTATGTCGACTGAAATACCGATCATTCACAGAAACAAAACATTGCAAACAAAGTTAATGCAACCATATATGTGATTACAATAAACCTTTTTCATTTTCCACGTTTTGTAAGTGACTTAACTTTCGTATCATATTCATGTCACACGCGACCTTATCGATTTGGTTTGAAAAAAGCGCCATTTTCAATAGACTTTGCAACACAGACGAAGTATCCTCACAAATTTAAGATTTTAAGAGTTTAAATGTAAGATTTTAATAAGTAGAATTTCGAATTAGTATGAAATACAATGTTTGTCTGTGACGAAAACTTTTTACCTGTATTTGTTTACATCATAATAAATCTTCTAAGCAATAAAACTATAATCGTGAACGCAATCAATTAACTCATATTATTTGTTATATGATTCATAATTATATCATACGCAAGTAATAATTATATACATTAAATAATACAATTATCCAAGTCTTGTGATATAGAGGTACTGTGAATAAAGATCCTTCTCATTCATGAGAACCCAACCTCTTTTTACGCATATATTAATTTTATATAAAACTGTGTTTGAACAAATTCTCCTTTCGTTTGTAAAACGTTCAATCTTTTAATCATTGGTGCGAAAGAAGTTAAAAGAAAAAAACAGACGCAAAAGTCTAATAATTAATCAGAAAAAAATACTACTACTACATACATCTACTACAAATACTAAAAGCAAGCATAGTGACAAGATAGTAAGAATGACTTCCCATGCTCTAGATAGATTTCCATCCAGAAAATGAGAAGAATTGAATTAAATCGCTGTGAAATTATAAACTATGGTCAACATGCCCATTATCTTTCTTCCCAAATAACATCTGAATATGTGAATAAAATTCTGGGAATGAACCTGAAAATCCTGAGCTAAAAAAATGATTAATATATTTATTTCATATCTGTTGCATAGCGGACTAGTAGTGTTTGATATTGCATTTTTTTACTTTATTTCATTTTAATTATTGGTCTACTTTATACTTTATTTCAGTAATATAATAAATTATTAAAAAAGTTACACTTGAATAGAAGAAATCAACAATTTATGTATTTGTTAAAAAAAAAAAAAGAAATTAAGATTCGATGCAAATAATGTAATAGTGAATTCTAAGTGAAATATTGATAGAAATATCCTCAAGCGATCTCTTCATCAAAGCACATGATTAAAAACACAAGACTAACGCTCAAAATTGTTGCTTTGATTCTGAAATCCACTTGTCGCGAAATGTCTTCTTGCATATAAAAGATACATTCTTTAACGGATAAAACTGAACTTTAATATCTTCATATTTCAAATTTTACACCATAAAAATTCTATTAAAATAGAATTGAATACATGGAAACTAAGTAATAAAGTAATTCCATATCATCATTAATATTATGTAACAATAATTTCAATTATAACAAATAATGATTCGATATTACAGGTATTATAACGAATATATTCTGTATTTATTTTCGATTGCAGATACACATATTTATCAACGTTATGTTATTTATATCGTAATATTATATAATATTGTAATATTACATCAACCATATTAATTACTAATGCATTATTTAAAAACGCGATGTGCAAGAAAACCTATCCTGAACTAATAAATAAAACACAGACAAGAAAATGTTATTACTCATGGGTATAATAAATACCCGCGGTCACTATGCTTGTCAAACTTTCTATGTAATACAACCAATCACTCGTGCCGATTCGGACCTTTCATCCTACGACATGATTGAGTGACTAGAGGAACAAAAATGCATGCGACTCACAATATGATGCGAAGAATATTGACATCGATGCAATTGTAGCTCAGAGAAAAACATCGTGAAGCTCATCATCAAATAGCAATCGTCGAATTCAATAGAAGAGATGAAAGCTAGAAGGAATATATAACAAAATTTTATAACTTTGTTCTAAAAGACAGTATTAATTTATAAAAGTCTATGATGATACTGACAAAATTCCAAATAAATTCCACGAAAATTGAAAATTTAACTATCTTCTATTTTATATCTTCATTAATATTTAAATCTTTTTCTATTAATACTTAGCATGCAGGGAATAAAATTAATTGAAACACAATGTGCAAAGATACTTACTTAAGATTCTTAACTTCTTTGAAGTGTTGATTCTTTCCAAAGAGTAAGAGGGAAGACATTGTGAAACACCTTTAACACAAAATATGGAAAATTATAATCTGTTCTTAAAGTCATAGTGTTATTTGGAAAATTTGAAATAATAATGATAAACATTGAAAATCTAATGATTTCTAATCAACAACAATTTAAAAAATAAATGAAATAAAAATAATTATGTACATTCTTGGTTTTTGATCCTCCCTCCAGCGCTCCCCCCCCCCCCCCCCCCCCCCCCCCCCCCCCCCCCTCCTACGCCCCACTCCTACCCATGATATCCTTTCCAGAAAAGAAATAATACAAATTGTAAAATTCCTTTAACCAAATACGAAATATTATAATTTATTCTTCGGTTAAAGAATTTGAAATAATGAAAAATGAAGCTATAGTACAATACAATAATAATAATATAATAATATAATAGACTTTTCTCTTTTAATCAAGAGACCGTTATTAATCAGTATCTATGAATTTCGATTCTTTTAAAATCATGTCCATGATCAGTCAATCAGTGATCTGTTAATAGAAAGACTTAAAGTAAATGTATAGATTTAATCCCAAATATATCAAAATGAAACAATAATCAAGGCTAAATTCTGTCTCAAAATCACTCTGTCATGAGAACCAGACAGTCAAATGGAACAGCAACGAAAGACAGTCAAAAAAATTAAAAATGCTATTTAAGTCTGGTATAGTAATGTTTAACAAATAATAATGTAAATCTACATTAGTGAAACGCACCTAATAGCACTGTATAACGAAGAGGTAATGCGTCAGTTGAGATAATATTCTTTGAACGAAATAACACGACCGAACACGATGCTTTCAAACACGAAACTGACGGTTTGAATCGCTTAACTAGTTCCTGATTGGCTGAGACAGCACGTCACCTCTTGCAAATAAATGCGCGCGAGAGATTGAAATTTCAAACTCGCAACCGCGCGAAATATGAAAGTTCCAGTGGCAGATCAAATAACCATATGAAACCTAACCCAATTTATTAAAGAATTAATTAAAAATTTATAAATTTAAATTTTTTGTTCAATATACGTATATGAAAAAAATATTCAGTAGTAGATATATCAATACAAATAAATTGAATTAATAATTGAAATGAAATAATACACTTTAACATACTTTTATATAAAAAAATAAAGTAGAATTATATTAATGAAAATAAATAGATTCATATTTGAAATGTTTTAACATTAATCGATATTTCTAATACTTTATTCATAATAATTAAACCATTAATTCGTTTCTACAAAATCTCTAAATATTCTTAGGAACATTATTTAAAATTTCCAATCATTTATTCATAAAAATTATAGATATTACCATTTTATAGCTATAAAATTTTATTCAACTAAGAAATAAAAGATTATCCTAATGATTCACATAAGTACTGTACTTAATCAAATCAAATTATTTAATAATATTTATTTTACATCATTTCATACTAACTGACTAATACTTATTAAAATAAAATTAGTGCAAAGTATACTACTTATGTAATATTGAAAAAGAATTAACGTTGAACTTGAGTAAGAAAGCTGAAGCAATTAAATTAAATACAATTTAATGATAAGCTAAAGATATATATATGATATCTGAACTTGAATCTTATCAAATGCGAACTCAATTATAAGCTCAAGTATGAATTCAGTTGCTACGACACAGTGAATACGTTACAATGGATGCGTATTCAAAACTCAATACATAAAAACAATCAAATATCTATACAAATTCCAATAAGAAATATTTTATCCGACAGGACACGCATCTACTGTAACCATAGCCTTACGTAAAATAAATATCTTATTCAATCTACAGTTTCTTTATAGTGAATAGTAGAGATATATACTTTTCTTCAACTAAACGATTGTTTTATCTATCAGTTTTCTTTTGCAATAGGGTCTACTCATTATCAGAATCATTATTCCAATTAACTGTTTAGTAATAGGAATAAACAGGTACTGTTTTATATTTTTATATAGAGTTCATAAATACATTGGAATTGTTCACCTGTTAAATTGATATGAGAGAGTGGACAAAAATTATTTTGTTTAAAAGGCAATTGTCAAGTTGTGAATATTTATTTATTTATTGATTCACTGTATTAACAAGGCCCGAGTTGCTACCTATGGCTGTGGTTACAACTCGGATGCGATGTATAAAATATAACATACAATTGTACAGGAAGATTCGTCTGAAACGGAACATTAGAATATATCTCGATTATCGAGAATCTGAAATCAAATAATGTCACACTATTTGTTCTAACTTCAAATCCTCATAGATAATCGGAACATTTAAAAATTTTATCTTTGACGGTTCCTCCTGTATATATATATTATATTATACGTATAATTATACATACATACGTACCATTGGCTCTAATAACAATAACTATAAACTATATGGTACATATATGTGTATCTGCACATAGAGAATATTTTCTAACAAGTATACGACGATAACTTTTTAAATACTTGACATTTACTCAATTGTTTATGATATCGTCGATTCTCACTTTTACAAAGATAATTAATCATCATTTTATAAATTAATACAAAAAAAAATCAAAATTGCAGAAAATTTGTTTAAAGAATTATTATTTCCAAAAATTTATATTGGTTTTGATATTAGGTATTTATTGGAAATAATAACTTTAGGGAAAGATCTATTTCAGAGAAATAAATATGTCTATAAAATATAAAATTAAGTACGTGTACCATCCATAATTGTTACACCATAATATTTTCATCATCTTTATAATAGTAATAAAGAAAAGAAAAATGGAACAATAATTTCATAAGAAATGATATCACTCTAAAAAATCGAAGTAACGATAATATTTAGAAATTAACAATCATAAACAATTGATTACTTTAAAAAACCATTACATAACAAGTATTGAGAAGAAAATACGAGATTGTTACAAAAATTTTTGTAAAGTCACTCACAATCGCACTCTAGTCCCTTTCTACTTAAATTTCGACAAATGCACCGATATTTTCTTTGCTTTGATCTATTTTTCACTACAGTTGGTCTCCTTAATAAATGATAAACTTACACAACATAAATTTCGTCCAGAAATTTTATATAATAGAAAGATAGATGAAAGTTGTCTACGACTGGAGGATTAGTCAGAACAAAAATCACAATCAACCAGTTCACATGCTTAATTGTCAAACCTATACGAGTATGGGAATGCACTAAATATATTGTATAGATAAAAGCGTGATTGCTTCTTAACAATGGGTGACACGTTTTCTCGATAACGTTTGAAATTCACTACTTTTTAATGTAAAGTTTTACACCTGATTCGGTGATTATAATTCGCGTATAGTCTACACAGCATATACGTCTGGTCAGTGCCCAGACGATGTAAGAGCATTCAAATAATCAAATGAAAATAGTTAAATCTCAGATAATGTCTTTAACGCATTGTTTATGTAAAATATGTGTCAATCCTTTGTTAACAAATAAGAAACTCCGAGAAAAAGTAGTACAAATAACAAATCTTTCATTTGAGGAAGTCATAAATTATTAACCATTAGAAAACTATTAATCATTTCTTTTTTATTATTAACTATTTTTATAGATTTAACGTTCATCTAGCAAAGCCTGTAACTTTCCTCTGTTAACGTTTCTTATCGAAACGTTTCTAATCAATAAGAGATTAAGTTTAATACGTTAAAGCTGTTATCCAAGAAATTTCCTTGTTCAAGATAATTACAGCCTTATGTTCACTAAATCTAGAATAATATCCATAATCTATTTAATGAATTTACATAGGAAATTCCATGAAGCCTATCATATTTACAGGTCGGACCATGTTTCACATTTGGAATGTATTCTTTCGAACACCTTAGGATGTACTATTTTAAAATTAAGATAAATGTACTATTTTAAAACTTGGGGTAAAATTAGATAAAAGTTACATATATGTTATAGACAATAAAAAATATAAAAAAAACTCACATTTTGATTAGATAAATTGTATAAGTCAGCAAAAAGATAGATTGCAATCTAATAATAAGTAAAAAATTTTCTTATTCTCTCCGATTCTTATTCTCTTTCTGATGCTCCTATAAACATAAAGAAGAATTTTTTAAATATTCGTGTGTTTGTCCATAACACATATGTACTTACATATCTCGATGCACTTCAAAAGAAAGAAGTTGTCGAAGAAAATTATTCTTTCAATGCACTTAATTATTTCGTTATAATGTTCAAAATCAGTTTTGGAATATTATTTAATCATGTTTTCTGCGCTTAAACTGTTTTGTTTAATATTTGTGTAAATTCACAAATAATGTTCCCAGGATAATCTCTAGAACTGTTCAGATACCAAAATATACTTATTACCAACAAATTATATTATTGTTATTGGTGAGAAAAGAGTTGCATTAAAAGACTAGTGTGGAAAATGGAACGATCGAAAACTCGGCGAAGCTTAACGCGCCACAACAGACATCGAAATGTCTGTCCGGAAAATTTCTCATGGATAAATGGCGATGTATTAGGAAAAGCTCTTTTTCTATTATCAAAAAAATTTCAGTAGTCCAACATGTCAAATCTCGAAGCCTCACTATTCAGGGAACAAAGAATGATTACGAAAGAATTTGTATCGTAAAATCTAAGTGAGTGCGTTCGAGATCTTCAGTGATTCAATGGAAATAATTTCGCATATAATTACGTTCCAACGATGAAATATTAGCAAAGATATACTTGGAACCGGGCACCGTGCAAAATCACAACCGCACTGTCCTAGACTGGTTCCGGAGGTGGATCTCCGTTGACACCTTCTCTGGATTGAATCATCACTTCTGTTTGTTCCTTGGTCAAGTCCTGTTGTTCCTTTGTTAAATTTAGGTCCTGGTCTGCGATAAAACTGCGACGAACCGCGCCATTCGCCACCGAAGATAAATCTGCGTTTCTTTGTTGAGTGTCCCTCCATGGAGTAGTCAGAATTTTCAATCTCTGTAATTTATTATTAGCAGATACATCGATTTATCATGTGTCTACAACTCTTTAGTTAGAGACATTTGTAGAGTTTAATTATTAATACATCGTATAATAATATATCGTATGTCAATTATTTTTATTATGCCTTATTGTCCTTAAAAAAAATAATATGTGTGAAATAATATTATTACTAGAAATTCTAGAAAATATCTACTACATTAAGATCATGATATCACCTGAATGAAACTGCCGGGCGTGACGATGATCTTGTAAATTGCGATGCCGGGTATCATGGCAATTGAGGAAGTCGCAATTAACCAGCCTAATACATTTGCCCAGACAGGATAGACGTAGTCCTCGTAAGTCAGTGGTTCATAACCCATTAAACCGTAAACGATAATGAACTGTTGTAACGATAGAAAAAGTTAGCTTTTTTGGAAAGGACATAAAAAATGAAAGAATAATTCAGTGCTGAAAGTGGATTGTGTCTTAAAAAATAAAAGTAAATACGAGTAATGCGAACTTAAAAAAGTTGAGAAAAAGTTATGCTTAATAAAATACGCATTACGTTGTGATATACGTATATTAAACTTTTATGAATATTGCTCTACTATCTGAATTATGCGAAAGTTGGAACGAAACTGTTAATCATAATGCTTGTTTTATGAGGTATAATGATATATAGCTGGTATACCATGAGAAATATCGGAGCAACGAATTTCCAACAGACTCTCCAATAGATTCCAGGTGAAAATCCAATCATATCTTTAATATCCGCGCAAAATCTGTCTGCTCCATAGATCCAACTAACAGCAATTGCTTCCGCTAAAACTGCGAACAACATAGAGTAGCCGGCTGCGTATCGGTCCAATAAATGGAAAAAATAAAAGCCACCCTGCGTATAACAAACAAAAATTGTGCAAAGTGTAAAATTTTCGCAATATAAAAGCACGATTAGGTCGAGAAAATTTATTTATTTATTTCGTGATCATTTCGCGATAGACTTTACCTGGGAACATGAGGCTAAACCAACGAGGAAATACAGCGTGAAAAGAAAAGCGACGAAAATTTCGCGATTATTCCCGATAATTAGGAACTCGTCGCTGAGAGCAGTTATTATCGCTTCAGAGCCGCCAAACTAAAAAAAAAAAAAACACTTGATTATACTATGATATAAAATACAATTGAATTATTGTATTTCATAATGTATTCATAGCAGAGTAAGTTAAAATTAATAGGCGATTATCAAATGGAGATCGTGAGAAACGATAATTTACGTAATCGCAGTTTTAAAATTAACCACTGTTAAACACTTTCATTGAATCTCTTGTACTTTCTGTAACAATAATTAATAGAAATTCTTTGAATTTATTTATTATACCGAGCTATCCAATCCCAGTGTAAGCAGCATCATAAAGAAAATGAGCGCCCAAAACATCGAACCAGGCATAGTTGCAATAGCAGCAGGATAAACGATAAACACTAGGCCGGGTCCTTCAGTCGCTACATCCTGAATAGACTTTCCACTTGCTCGAGCCATGTACCCTAATACAGAAAAAATCACAAAACCAGCGACGAACGATGTTGCACTGTTTATCAGGCTGGTTAATAAAGCGTCCCTGGAAAATATGTAAGCGACAAATAAATTTTACATTTACCAGTAAACAAATTAAGCATGTATACTCTATTTGCAATAATTTATTTACAAGAAATTGGAATTTTCATTTGTAAATATTGAATAAATAAGTTGAGAAATTTCATTATTTCTTTTTATGATTATACATTTAAATGAAAAATTTCGTGAAGTTGAGGTTTATTAAATTATTAAATATTTCTCCTGTAAAAAGGAAAAGTATCATTTCTTAATAAACTCTTATTTTCGCTCTAGAGATATTTAGAAAAGATATATTCAGATATACTAAAAAATATATTTAGATATACTAAATGAAGAGAGACGATCGCTAAAATAACTAATTCGAAAGACACACTTTGTTATACACACACTTACTTGTAGACGTTGTTGTGATATTTGTTATAACTGGCATAAGCCAGGAGCACGCCAAAACCCGGCCCGAGAGAAAAGAACACCTGCGTTGCGGCATCCACCCAAACCTAAACAGAAAAATTATCATAGCGATTATTATCATAGCGAAAGATTTCTATATAGTTCATTTTACAACTGAAATCGGAATTTCCTTCGAACTTGGCGATACGTCGGTGTTTATTCTCTTTAATTAGAAAGAAAATTAACATCCTTCGTCCCCCTCTCTTTTCAGAAAATAATGTCGCGTTACAAAAATAATCAATAATAATAATTCGCTTATTTCCTTTGTGAAAAATCTTTCTCCGCGAAGAAAAGGCACCAAGACGGCCGGTTACCGCAAATCCTGATACTTGAAGTCAACAAATTTTCTCGGTCGCTGTATAAAATCTACCGGCGCGATCTAGGGGAAGTGGTTAAGTCGCCAAAGAGAAATGCATTTCGCTTGCGAGTCAAGAGGGTCGAACGTGAGATTTCATGCCCGTGACTGGACCGAACTCTAATGGTCATTATGACAGGTACACAGAGTTTCCATTTTCAGCGTCGTCGGTTAAACTTGGCACGTTTCTCCTCTCCCCCATTTTTCTCACGACGCCATCCGATTTTTTTCCATCCTTTCACACTGGTGCATTAACTTCCTGACTCTCGGATTTTTATCCTTTTCATGACCATCGTAAATGGCTATTTCATAACGCCGCGATCATCCGCTGAAAGGACGATTTACTAAATCCAAAAGAACGAAGTCGGCGACCACGGGTTGGACCACGAAAGTGAAATTGTGATATTGTCGTATAATAATTTCAATGCGTCGCGTATAAAATACGTATCTGTACGTTTAAAGATCAATTATTTCTGTGTGAATGACATCTGTGAAATAACCTTCGAGAACTATTGCTAGACAGATAAAACAATTAAAAAAGTGTTGTTCTCATCACCTCAGCTTTTGTGATGGCAGAAAAATTTGGATTGAGATAGTAACGTATTCCTTCCAGACTTCCTGGCAATGTGACACCCCGTATAAGTAGAATCAGTAAAACAGCATAAGGAAATAGGGCCGTGAACCAAACCACCTACAAACAAAGGAATAAAATTGTTTGACGGAACGATAATCTTCGATTGTTGCTGAAAAAATAACTAATCAATTAATTTTTAAAAGGTCTAAGTATGAAAAAGTTACAACGTCAACTAGTCAATAGTTGAACCAATGCACAGAGTGATAAAAAATTGAAGTACAAGTTTCATTTGCACTGCTTCTACAGTAAAATTATCGTTTGAAACGTGAAAGAATTCATTTCTACACAACTCGAATCGTGAAAGGGCAAATTTTACCTTGCCAGAAGTAGAAATCCCCTTCCACAAAGAGAAGTAACAAATCAGATAGACCACCAGCAGACACAACGCAATGTCCCATTTAATTATTCCAAGATCGTGTAAACCTTCGCTTTCGTGAAGTTCCAGAATAGCACGACTTGAAAGGAAATTACGAAAAAGTTGTTCATTATTCAAACCGACGAGCCGATTAAAACATTCCTTCTTTTCATAACATTCTATCTATATGAAAAAAGTATGGAATCCTTTTATAAAAAGAAACATACCTGCATAAACATTCATAAATACAAGTGATCAGTATCAATAATGCGCAACGAAATGTAACATGCAATGTAGAAGAAAAATATTGCACCGTCGACGCAACAATACACGGAATCAAAAACTTACTTGAAATATTCTTGAGCAGCGCTCGTGTACCACGTGTTGTTGTAGCCTTGATTTGAATTTTTGTCTGAATGTCCCGCGGTTACGGTGGAATTGCCAGACTCTGTCGTATCGAACGAGCCAAGAGGTATGTTATCAAACGTGTATGAAATGTTAGCGTCGAACGCTCGACAATGCGGCGTGTTCCACGGATTGTCGCAAGTGGTCCAAGGTAGAAGGCTGGAGAACGAGGCGAAAAAATACCTCAGTGCCCAGGCAATGATCACGTTGTAGTAGAAATCAACGTAGAATGCAATTAGTGCCACTGCATATCCAATACCTAGGCGAATTCATTGGGAATTCATTGTTAAGCTGATGCTTCCGGGGATTGAGTAAAAATATACACGAATTTATTCTTTAGAGATAAGTTTGGCTTTGGTTTCGTGATCACCAAATAAATTTCGCGAAACAGTTTACAATTTGTTTAACGAATAGACGACTAATGGCAAGGCGAACGCGTTTCGTTTAATTAATCTAAAGTATAGTACAGATAAGTCTCTTTCTATACGTATATATGTATGTAATAATAAAGAAGGATTCATTTGAGAAGGATTAAAAATCTCGGAGGACGCGTCCTATGTACGTCCCTCCGATTCCTGAAGTCGGAGAATATTCCATTATCCCGTGGGAGATGTGTCTTGAGCGGGGAATCAATTACGTCGTTCATCGATGCGGATCAAAAGGAAGAAGGGCACGGAAGACAAGAGTCAAGGAAAATCCTGCACTCGCATCGATCATCTCTGGACGCGACGCGACGCGACGCGACGCGTTTTGCGACGGTCCCGGGTGAAATCGTCACGATCCAGGAAATCGACGGAAATGGAGTGGCCTCTTCTCGAGTGGCCTTCCATTCTCGGATTTTCCTGGATTTATACGCGTTACATAATGTACCGCATAGCACGACATAGAACGGTCGAAGAGAAGAAAATATAACGGCCGTGTCTAATGCATGATTCCTCCTCGTTGGAAGATGACGGTAAAGTGCTTCGAAACGTTTTCAGAACTGTCCTCTGAGAGTCAATCAGAAAAGTAATCGCACGGTGGCGCACTATTGCCTCCATTGTTGATCGTCTATTCAGCGCGGGGAATCGAGCGGAAGAAGAATTTTAACGCGATTATTTCTAAGTTCTGTATCTGCATTCGACGGGGATCCCTCGAATGTTCAATTACTCGATTTCCATATCTTGCAATACGCTTTGAATGATCTCGAAAATTCAAATGAACAGTCGTTGAACACATTGTACGTTTGTTTGCCACAACGTCGAATTGATTTACATTCCTGTTGTGAAGATATAATTTTAAAATTGAAACGTTTGAAGAGACGCGTTGTAAGTCGTCTGCTAGAGAAAATCACGCGTAGTTGCGTGATTAATACCAAGTCGACTAGAAAAATAGAACTTACCTTTTAAAAGTGGCACCAAACGACCCCAGCAGGTGATCGCGCCTTTCCGATTGAACTGGCCCAAAGCGAGCTCCATGTAAAACAGTGGAATTCCTCCTACCACCAGCATTATACAATATGGAACGAGAAACGCCCCTGTAAACGCAATTCAACACTCGTGGCATTAAATATAATACAAAGTATATAAATAATAAAATAATAACCGATAACAGATTTTTAACAAAACTGTAATTAACAGCACGAGGGAATGTCTGAATGCTGAAAGATTTCACATATTTTCACATGTGGTAATGTATTGCACGATGCACGATGACAGTATGAGTATGAGCGAAATAAAACGAGATCTCTCGTCGTTTGAATATCTTTGATAAAATTAAACGCGTTTAATTTATTTACAGGCACTGCGGGAAATGTTCGGATTCTTATCATCTTTGATGACATCTGCCGTGTGACAAGAGGCTGATATGAAGAGCGAGGAAAAAAGTGATGTGCGAGCCACTCGCATCATCGTGTTAGCTTCATAACTGAATTGCAGAATATTTAGAGCACCAGTGGCAGCAAGGTGCTTTTAGGTACGTAATTCGATAGCGAACTTTCGAAAATGTAGCAAGGCAATGGCTGAAATGGTGATTCTGATAAAACTGATTTATCAAACGATTAAACAAATACAAGTATCGCAAATTTTTAAATTAACAATTTATCGCCCGAACGAGACGAGTGAAAATTACATTTAAACACGTAAAAATAATAATGTACGTGTCGTTTGAAAGTTTCGCTTTCTCTGGTTTCATTTTCGAGAACTGGCCAAATTGACAAAATGTTTAAAGATCAAAAGTGAACACACACAGATGTCATCCTCCAAGTTTTATATATAAAATATAAATTCCCTCGGATACATTGAACATTCCTGGTCGTTATTCCGTCTTCGTTTTTCCCAATAAATTTTCCGTCGCCCGTAACCACGGAAACGTAATCGCATTAAACAAGGATATTCCGTTCTTCTTATGCCTCGCAGTTACCTTGATGAATTTTTCTTTTTCCTCCTAAGTGCTTTCGAATACCTTTTGTTCATTTGTATATAAGAAAACTTAAAATTTATCGAAATTCTTAATTTTAAAAAACGACTTTTTTTTAAGAAAAAAATTAATGTAAAAGTGGTCGGAACTTGTTTTTATAACAGATATTGCAAAACGAGTATGCAAATAGAATTCTCAATTATTTAAAAAGGATTTTAACAATTTAGTTGGAAAAAAAATCTTCGTAACAATAAGCTATGGTTCTATTAAGAAACGTTTAAAACGTATTTTAATTTCCTTGCGATACGTAAGTATATACGTGTACACATATATATATATTCGTACAGAAGACTTCTTCCGTATGTCATGAACAAATGTCCGGCTTTTGAATAACATTTCCGTTTAATTTTGGTCCTTTGAGGGTACAATCATCTTCAAAGACCGACACTTTGTACCCCGAGTTCAACCGTCGTTAATGCCTTTGATACGAATAATTTTGAAAAATTCCTGTCTTGCACGTATAATTTTATCTGTTGCACTGTCGTGGGGAAATAATTCAACTTGGAAAATTACAGTTTCTAAAATTTCCTAAATTGCACGTACACGATTCTAAACTTTTTCGCACAAACATCCCAAATGTAAATTACAGTCTTCACGTATAAAACAATCGAATGAGGAATGATGATGATGATGATGATGATGATATGGAATTGACAATGAATCGAAGGTTTAACGCTACATTACGCAAGAATAATATTTTTTTTTTCAACACTAACGATCAATCAGATCTACTTAACATTCGTGTAAAATCCAGGTGCAAAACGTACGCGTTTGGTTTTTATTTTTCAATCACGATCGGCAACGGGACTCACGCGCGCGAAAACATAGAAATGTTTCGTAATTTTTCCGCGAAGGAGAGAAAAAAACGCGAAACATAGGGCGAAATCATGCGACATAATGGATCACGTACGGTGTCATGCGGCAGGCAGAGGCGTCGCGTCGCTGTCGTCCATGATCAAAGGCCGGCCCGAATGGGAAATTATAATTAATTAAGGTAATTGGAAATTAGCGACCGATCTTGCCGGTACTAATGGTCCGCCCTACTCTCCTCTTAATTGAGTTAGCAGCCGCTTTTGAGGAGGCCCGTATCACTGATAGCTGGTCCTAATCATATTCCTACGAGAGACTCGATAGAACAGCAGGTAATAGCGTCGTCGCGTCGCGTCGACGTCGTTTGAGTACAGTTGCCGAGTACAGTCGTTCCAAGTCGTTGCGCGTTGCTTATGAAAGTTGTTGTTGAGATGGTTTGCAAAGGGGCACGAGAAAACTTCGAAGTTTGCGCGTGATAAATAAAACTAAAACAGATTCGCGCGGGTATCGTCACGTAGCCGTGAAATTGGAATTCTCTTTCTAAAATTGCATTTCATTTCTTTTCCAACAATCTTCCCATTTCTGTTTGTCAGACTGTTTCGACAGTATTCGACGTTTGTGCTGGATCGATCAATAACAATTAGCAGATAGTACTTGAATAACTCAGTAAGGAAATAATGATAAAATGTTATACTCTTATACGAGTACCTATTTTTTAAAAAGCGCAAAATGTGCAAATCGTGCACGATAAAAATATAATAAATAAATGTGAAATAACCATAGATCTCATGAATCTTTATTACAAACTTGAAACATGTACGTAGTATATTGTAGTTCAGACTTACTGTGTGATATTCAAATAAAAAGCTTTTTAATGTCTGAAGCAAGATCTTGAAACCAGAATGAGTGTGTTAAAATACGTTTAGACGCATTTTAAAGGAAAAAACATATTTCTCTAAATATCAGGATCGCTTAAATTTTTCTGAAATATATAATTTTACTTTAATAGAGGTAGATATATTTGGTAAAGGCACTATCAAGAGACCAAATAAGTTAAGAGACCAAACGACTAAGTAAATCGAAAACGCGATATAACTGAGGGTAAGAATTAAATCTACGTGGATGCTGTAATCTTCCGAGTCTGTGCGTGACTCTTAAATTGCTCTTTCGCCTTAATTTGAGCCAATTTTGAATCCTGCAGCAAGATATTTCCACGGATAAGGAGCCCAGAGTGAAATCTAAATCTCAGGGTCATTTTCCACGAGGTAAATGCCAATTAGTCGACCGGTTAACACGGTATTGCCTCACTGCCGGAGTACATTACTCGATGCATCCCCTATTGCAGTTGAGAAATAACGCCTTACAACGCTATCAGTTGATAAAATGACGCTTGCCAGGGTACTTCGCAGAAATAATATCTCTGATACAAATACTTTTCGGCATCTTTCATGGAACATCCAAAATTTTCTTTTTTTTTTTTTTTTTTTTTTCTTTAATTATATTGGAAAAAAGTAACTTAAGATAATTGCG